TAAGATATGTCTGTTGGAACACAAAGATTTTGATAGGTATAGGGATAAAAAGGATCTGCTGTATCAAATTACAATTCTCTGCATAATTTGGATTCATTCCCAAAGCCAGGATCCCAAGAAAGAGTAACTGCCCCACCACCCAACCAGGCACAAAAATTGGAGTCAGCATAGGAATTTGTGTGCAAGCTCCTTCATGAGGAAATCAAAGTTACAACATGGCTTGAGAACATGCTTACGTGATGTACACTGTAATGGAAAGAATCAATCTTTATTTATTCACCCCATTGACCACAATTTCCTAGTAATAAATGAACAAAATAAAGGTATGTCTGAATTACTCAACACATGGAGATCTGAATGTGTGACTCACTGAAGAGACAAACATATCTGCTATGGTTGCTGATACAGATATTCTACAATATTTGGTCTGTGATTGGTCTTCACACTTAATCTAAGTAGACCCAAATTCCAAGAGGTGTGTAAAGAGTTATTACCAAAATAATCTGTGGTGTCTGCAACTGATGAAAATACCCACGTGAATAGGAATCCTGGAGGAATCTGATCTCTAGGAATTCCACAATGATAAATATTGGGCCTTTTTCACACTACACAGTTATTATGGTATGACTCTACTTTTGCTGCCATGATTTCCTCTTATGGAATCCTAGGATGGGTAGTTTAGAGTCATGTATTTCAGATTCTCAGAAAGAGAGCTGCAGTGCTCTGCCAAACTGGAAACTTCAGGATTCCAAAGGACATGATGATGTAAATTCAAGGGGAATTACAGTGGTAAAATTGTGTAGTGTGAAATAGCTCCTAATCCTATGGATTAGGGGGACCTTTCACACTGTACAATTAAAGCCCATCTATATTTTGCAGTTCCCCAGACAATTGTACAGGGTGAGTATCCCTTATCCGAAATGCTTGGGACCAGAGGTGTTTTGGATTTTGGAATATTTGCATATGCATAATAAGATATCTTGGAGATACAACCCATGTATTAACATTGAATTTATTTATATTTCATATACCTTTTACACAAAGCCTGAAGGTATTTTTATATAATATTTTAATAATGTTGTGCATTAAACAACGTTTGTGTATACTGAATGATCAGAAAGCAAAAGTGTCACTGTCTCAGTCACCCATGTTTGTTTGTTTGTTTGTTTGTTTTTTGGGATTTTGGAGCATTTCAGATTTCAGATAAGATATATTCAACCTGTAATGTAATTCTTAAAAATTTAAATAGAAAATATTTATTCAAATTCATATCCCAACATACATTTAAAAAATCTTTATTAAATCAATCAATCAATCAATAAATCCATAATACAGACTCTAACATATACTAACACATAACACATATAAAAAACAAACTCAATCAAATACAAATGACTTCCTCTTCTCTCCCTGCCAATTTGAAATGTATATTTTACAATTTCTTTAATTTCATCTATTCTATACTTAGTTCTCTACTTCCTCAAATCTAAATCTATAAATTTTAAACTTATTTTTCCATATCTTATCAATAACAAAAAGACTTTTATCATACCCACATAATCTCAGTATCCCAACATACATTTTGGTAGGACGTTTATTTCCCTCTTTAAAAAAAATCACGGATGAATATGGAAAATGAATGGAATAAAGCCATGTCAAAGTGACATAGCCTGGAAGAAAAACACATCTTTCTATCCTTGATGATGTATCAATGAAAAGGAAGCGATAATCTTACTGAACATTTAATGCATAAAGCATTGTCTGATCCCCTTTACTGATGATGAGGGTACCTGGAAATCATCTGGCTGGTTATCAGGGAATGGTAACCAGCCTTTCAGTAGCAATATCCCATTGATGGAATGATCTCCCTGTTATGAGTTTTGCCTGGTGCCAAACTTAATGACTTCTGTGCACCCATCTATTTATCCAAGTCTTTGTACATGCCTACAAGCTGAGAGTACAGCTTCCTGGTTATTTTTAGTTACTTATTTGTATATGTTGTGCTGCTGTTTTCCTAAAATTCTGTTCTGTAGATTAAATGTCTGTACAAACCTTTTTTTAAAAAATTGATCTTCAGTTTGTAAGCCTGGAGATGACTTTGCCTAGAGCTGACTTTACTACTCCTTTTACAGGAGATGAACCATCATAGTGCATGCTATAGAATCTGGGGACTGAAAAAGAAAGTATAATCCCTGTGTGATATATTCTTCAAAAGAACAAATTAATCCTGCTCAGACTTTCCAGTTACGCTTCGCTCATGATTCTGCAACAAAGGAACAGAAGCATAACTAAAGTAACACCAACTTCTCTGTAATTTTATACAACAATTTATTTCTGAGATTATTTCCAGTAGATTTTTTTTTCCAAT